CCCCAAAACCCCAAAACCCCAAAACCCCATTAGTAGAGGATATCAATAAAGCTGGAATGCTTTTTTATCTTTTTTGAATAAGGATTAATAGTAATTAATACAAGATTAAGCATTATTGATAATTTACTCCTACATATCGCATCATCATTGTCATCTGAAGTCTTTGATAAGTAGTCCCTCACTTTCCTTTTGACTTTCAAAAAAGTTCATCATTTTTGAAAGTTTTTGCAGCTATCTGTTTTTTAATGTCTATGATTTCATCGTATTTCTAATCTATCTGGCCTATAGTTTTCTTTCTATAGGATCATCACTTAGGCTTATACCACTCGAATGATTAGAGTGGGATAATTCAGATAGCTACTTCATGCTAGTTTGCTGTTCATTAGCTCTAGATCTCTATGGCTGCTATTTAAACTTCTTGGTCTCACCATCAATATCATAGTTCTTTAAGTTACATTTAGGGCATCTTAATCTCTCGACCTTTCTCATGTAGATCTCCTCAACTTCATCATATTTCTCTTTATAGTGTTTTCTTAGACATCTGATGTGGTAAGTGTGTTTGCATGCGAATATCTTCACATACTCTTTGGAAGAATCGTAGAAATAGCTATCAAAAGCATCATCATCTTCATCAGAAAGATTATTCAAAGTTTCATCATGAGTAGTATCCTCTGCTTCATCGTATAGATGCGAGTCTATGTATTTTTTACACAACATACACACTCTTTGTCTAAATAAAATACCCTTCATTGTTTGTTAAGAAAACTGCGAGAATAGCTCAGTATTGACTTTGTATATTGCATTGTTAGCATTTTACAGTACCAGAGATTCTGAGTTATTGTTCTAGAATAGTTATAGAATAATATCTTCAAACTCCTTGAATTATAGATCTACTTATTAGAGAAGCACATGATTTATGAAATTTTTGAAAGGAATCACCTTAATTAAGGCTTCTAAAAAGAGATTTATTCTCTTTTGGAAAAATTATCTACAATACCTCTTATTATGAAGTATTTCGTTATTTCTCATTTCTTGAAGCATATCAATCACTATAAACCAGACTTCCTCCTCCTTACCAACTTCTACCTCGTTCGAGTTTTTTTTGCAGATCTGTAAGATCTACTTGAAGAAGGAGTCAAAAGTAGTGCATTCTGTCATATAATCATGAGTTACGGGGAAAGTTAAGCTAATATCTTACTTTTTGTGGGCGAAATATATTTCAATCTTCAACTTAGTCAAGTTTATCTTATTTCTGATGATTTAAATACCCTATGTTACACTATCAAAATACTTCCCTAGTTTTTTGTTCAGCAAAAATGCTGCTTCAATCAAGCCATTTTCTTAGCAGATCTGGAGACAATCTTAGATGGGATAGTAGGAGTGCTTTACCATTTTTTCAACTATGCTTAATACTTTATCCTTGTTCATTTGACAACATAACTTAAGATGCAGTTTCAGGAATTCAATGTACCGTTTGGCTTCCTGGGGATTCGTCGACCTCAATCCGTAGCTCTTTATTGTTTCTTATATGGTTTAATCTTACTCTTCAAGTAGAGTTTCGAGGTAAAGCATCTGCTCCATTGGGTCTCGACTCAGCAAGTCTATCATCTCCTTGTGATTCGCTCCAAATTTCTCTTCAATCAAATTAATTGTCTCTTTTGGATTCATCACTACAATTTTCTTTATATTTTAAGTAACCTCTCTCTTGAATTGTTCAAGTATCGTCTTATCTTAGATTGATATAACTGATTTTTCCTCAAGGAGAGCCAGTTTTTCTTTGATCCAATTTATAACTCGCTCTGCCTGATGCTCTTATGTCCATGCCTCATTGACTTTGTAATCAGTCAGTAGCATTTATAGACATTTAATGTATTCTTGCTTCTTTTCAAGCAAATACACTCTCACCTGATTACTAAATAAATTTTATCATTAACATTTGTTCTTACAATTATGAATTGTCTAGTAGCTTGAGCATCTCTGAAATCTAGATGTTGTCTAATGGTTCGCTAAGCTTTATCAAATTAATAAAATCATTTTCAGTCTTTTAGATGTACTTTAGTTCATCTTGCTGCTATTACTTGAGAATAATGTGCTCATTTGATTTGCTAAGTTGCTCATTTATCTTCTTTTTCTTTTTGTTTGACATCTCATGTAAATTCTTATTGAATTCAAGATACTTACGATGTCTACTCATCAACTCTCTAGTTATCTTATAGTAATAGTAGACACTCACACCATGTATCTAGGACTTAGCAACTACATTGGCTACAAAGAACAAATATTGATTCTTGATGCCTTCAGGTGTGGTTTCAAGCATGCAGTATGAATCTAAATCCTTAAGGAATTCCACATGAGTTAATGAGAAAAGATTTGGATTAGATTGGAGGTCTCTTCCTTACTAAACAAGTTCAAATGGTTTGCTTTAGTAAAACAAGATAGAAATAACTTAGAATAAAGTTTCTGCATCAATATCAAGTAAGACTTTGATATACTCATGAGTAGAGAGGAACTGAATGACATCATGAATGTAGCTTCTCCATTTTCTCTCTCTAATGTTACCTTACGGAAACTTTTTACCATCAATAAATAATCTGATGGCCCAGAGTATTTTGTAGCCAAGATACAATTGAGATTTTTCTATTTGCTTTTTCTCATCTGAATCGTAGTCGAATTCCTTTAGCATTTGTAAGTCAAAGACAGATATTGAACTCTGTTTAGTGCATTTCTTGTAGAGATCAAATAGTGAGCATAGTACTTGTACGCATGAAGTATTCTAAAAAAATGATAAATTAAACTTTAGGCTTACGTCTTTTTTCTCAATAACTTAAGTATAGAGAAAAAGAATGGATGTTGACAAGAAATTTTGCTCGCTAAAATGAATGAATTCAAGCACTATCTTTTTTTCGATTTGATTAAAGTTAAGGTTGACAATGATTTTCTCAAGTTAGTCAGCTTTTGTCGGATCATTTTTATAGTAATTAATCACATGCTCCTAAAGTATGTCATTAGGTATCTCCCATTCCTAGAATTTACCTGCTAGAATGAATGGCTCTAACTCCTCAATAAATAGATCCTCAAGTTATTCCTCTTTGAACAGAAGGAATAAATCATAGAATAAGAAGTAACAGTCCTTTAGCTCAACACAGAATTCAATAGAAATCCTGATCAAAGTCTGATACTTCTTCTTTCTATCCTCTTAGAACTCTTACAATGCTTGAAGTTACTTCTTTTGCTCCTCCTTGCTCTTAGAGCTGTCAATCTAAGTGTTGACTTAGTTTTGAAGTTTCTAATTTTAAAGATAGGTTTTCTCTATCTTCTCACATATAATCTCTCTGACGTTAAGCTTCAAGCCAGCTTTGAGCTGAATTTCTCTGATAGTTGAGTTATCTGGGATGCCAGAAAACCCTTTAATTTTGCCTTTATAGATATCAAGCAGTCTTGAGAAAACTTTGATCAAATCATCTTGAACATATCTCTTAAACTCCTGAATAGAGTCTTACCAGGATAGATGATTGCATGCTTGAATGTTTTTACTAGTAAGGATAACCAATTTGGATTCATAAAATTTAATTGTTTGATTGAAAGTGCCTCCTCCAAACTCTGATCGTTAGACTTAAGGGAGTTTAATTCCTACTTCAATTTCAGGGAACACTTTAGGGACAATCCTATTTGAATTTCTGAGGGAATTCTTCTCTTATTACTATACTTTTTCTGCATCATATATCTCGGGATTAAATGATTAAGTGTAGAGTATTCTAATTTCTTAGGATTAAGTGATCACCATCAATGTGCTGTCAGAAACGAATTGTATTTGTTCAATGAACAAACTAGGAATATTAAAGGCTTGAGAATCATCATAAACTTCCTCAAAGAATATTTCCTTATCCTCAATTCTACTATTTTGCACAGAATCATTTCTCTTTGAATCTTCTTTAGTACTTTGATTAATCATGCTTCTATTATCAGAGTACTCATCATTAGCAAATCTAACAGATCTTCTGACTCTAGGAGTCTTGATCATTTTTTACTCTCCCGTGTTCCAATTTCTCAAAATGTAATAGCCATCTTCAATGAATGGTTAATCAACATCATCATGGTCAATAATAACCACTAGCTGAATTAAGGGTCCCCAGCAAACTGCCAATAGCGAATGTGGTCGATCTTTTAAGACAGGTGAGTGACCATGTCCCCATGAAAGGTTTGGCGCAAACTTTTAGAAAGTTTCAAAGTCATTTCTACTACGACTAAAATATCTCTGAGGCCTTTTAATGGTTAGAAATTCAGTATGCATATTAGGTCTTGCTTCCATTATATGAACTTCCTCAGAATTGCCAAGAGCGAAAATGGGGATATCATCATACTCGCCAATACCATGAAATTTAGACCTAGAACACATTAAAATGAATATCTTACTTAAATCTACACGAAATTGATGTATACATAGGCACTTATTGCTTTGTTGGATCTATTACTATATGCTTGCTAGCTTTCATTCCAAATAAGGCTTTTTAGATTGTATTGATGATAACCTTGCCAGTTTGATCTATAGATATAAACATCCAAGCTTATTTATCTTCTTCTTATAGGATCTATTACTTGGTGAACTCAGTTTAGACTTCATTGACATTCTTTAATGGCAAGTTTCCATACCAATCAACGAATTTGATATTTACAATTGCAGACATCTTATGGTGATCTTTGATTGTTTTTATTGATTTCTTTGGTTCAGTAACATCTATTAACACTATTTGACCTCTTTCATAGCCAATAACTACATACTCTGTTCTATTAGGATGGACATCTATTGCAGAGACTGAATTGCCTATGAATTCCTTAGACTTCTCACTATAACTTGCATAGTCTTCTTCTGATTCTCTATCGAACATCCACAATTACCCTTCTGTATTACCAATCATTAGTAAATCTTCGCTAATACCAAGGCATGTGGCTCTAGATTTTGAAAATGAACGCTCACTTACCATTTTCTTTGAAACTGAATTTAGATTCACGAAGTTAGTAAATGTTCTAATACGAATGTCACTTGTGTTTTGGTTCTTTATAGATAATACTGAATTTTCTTTGAGTTTTGACTTTGCCATTTCTTAGTACCTTCTTTCATTCCAGTCAATCATTTTAACCAAATCCTTATAGTCCCAATCATCTTTGGTTATTTCTCTGATTTTTATAGATCTCCTCTTGTTCTAGGGAGTCATGTTGTATTCAAGAACATCTTGATGCATGGTCTAATAGAATTCCTTGGTGAAACTCTCATCTGAGTTCAGAAAGTTCTCATCATCCTCTCCTTCTACTTCTTCGATTACATCAATTGCATCTCTTTAGCCTGATATCTTGCTTATATTAGATATACTTTTTCCAGAGGGTTGCTCATGCTTATGGTGTGAGTCTTTCTATTCGATTTATTTTTCATCAATTTTATAAATCATCGCTTCAATATTATCCAGATTCTATGACATTCTTACTTTCTTGTCTGTTTCCTCTAACTCCTCTAAATAGTTATTTAAATCCTCCTCCGTGTCAAGCGAATCCTCTTAATTGGTCTCAGGCTAAACATCATTTGAGGCTGCACCAGCTAGTTATTCCTTTTTATCTTCCACAGATATTTCAGGATGTGAGGAATTTTAGTCCTGACCACTGGAAGTTTTTCGAAGATTTGACCCTCTGCGCTTGTACATAGAATGAGTTTAAACAAGACTAGACTTCAAGTAGTTGTCATCAAATATTGTTGAGAATCTTGGATTGGCTTTTATTTAGCCTAGACTCTAATTGCTTTTTTATCCATTACTATGATTCATATCAAATTAATCTGAGGAATCCTTTCCATCATTAGTTTTGTTTAGAGATTTATCAGCACCGCCTGTACCCTGTCTTTCTTCTTAGAATGAATCTACTTAGCCAAGTAAATTATCCATCATCTAAGAACCATCTTCCATTAAGTCATCTTAATGAGACAATGACTTTTCCTCTACATCAATTTGATCAAGCATGTCATGAAATTTATTAGTATTTGGACCCCTTACCACAGCCTTTCTAGAGGTCAAAGCTTAGTTATTGGTAATAGTTTGGATTCTTGGTCTGTTTTATTCATTCTCAAACTTTTCATTTTATTTAGGTACCATACTAGCTCTATTTAAATTCATTTCGTCAGGTGGAATTACTAATGATGCATTATACATTTTTGCTTTACTTTAACTTTTCTGCTGATTATTGAAGTAATCATCTGAATCATCACTTTGGCTAAATCCTTTCATTAAATTGTTATCTACCATAGACTTTCTCTTGCTCAATCGATTGCTTGTTTCATCTATTGATTTTTTAATTGAATCTCTTTACTTCTCTGGTGAAAATGAGTCTAATTTATCCTTGCTTTAAATTTTATCTTTAAAGCTATTTCCTGCTGATGTATTTCCAAAGCCTGTCATTAAATCTTTCATTAAGTAGTCTTCATTCATGGGATCCATATCGTCATCGTCCATAGCATCATTATCTGGAATAAAGTCTTATAAATCCTTCCCTGACATCACTGTTGTTCTTTTCTGCCTGATTTGCATTGAAAATCTATTGGATTATCGATTAGTCTAGCGATTATTAGGCTGCATATTTATAAACTTTTTATTGTTATAAATTTAATTATAGATCTTTAAAAGATATAATGCTTGTCGGGGTTTTGGGGTTTTGGGGTTTTTGGGG